TAGTATACTCATTTGAAAACATAAAGAGCTGGTCCATTTTTTTAGGTTCTCCGGCAGATTTTCTAAAGAGCTACATATATTTTGGTTAGATACAATCCCACTAATTAGAGAAGTATCGGTCAATTTTTTCTGGTTACTCACTTTTGTCTTTTACATATATTTAAGCTGATTCCCTTTCTACTTTTATTCTTCGCTTTAAATTGCAGCCATCCCACGGTAGTAGTTTTTTCACAGACGGATTCGGACTACTTTTATCAGGCAATATAGTTCAAAGCAATAAGAACTATATCATTTTATAAAACTTGTTTGACCTGGCGAAAAATTTCAAAAACACTAGCATAGTAAAATGCGATTAAATTTGAAAAAACTTTCCTCAAACCTGACAAGGACCGAAAGAAATTTCCACCATTTTTTTTGCTTGGCGGTGTACCGGGAGCGTTCAGTCACGGGCGACGCTAAATTGATTTCACTCTGGGGATGTTCAGTGCTTGTTTAGTACTTGAAATAAAAACCAAATCCACACCAACGTAATGTAATGTTTATAATAACGAGTCAGAACTTTCACAACGTAACAAGGCAGCAATACTAAGTTGGATTTTACATTTTGAGCTGAAAAGCTGATTGTTTTTGATTGGATTTGGTGGGATTGATTAAAATAAATTGAAATTGATTAAACAACCTACCAATCAATCTTGGTTGTTTGGTACAAACACAGGGTTAAATATCTCAAATTTAAATAGCCAATATTGGCCATTTAAGAGCAGATTAAATGAATGAAAATCTCTATTTAAGTAGGTCATCTAAAAATTGGCCTTAGTCAGATTTTACTGGAAATCGATCCCGTACTCGGTTCTCTGACTATTGAGAGGACAAAAAAGGGAGTAAATGAGGTCATCTCTCAGTCAGAAGTTAACAGCCAAGGCGCATCAATATATGGCGGTGTTGATTGATCAGCTGATTGGATATTTTTGTCTCTACACTAGTACAAGAGAATGTCATCCAAGACGAAGTGGCGCAACATTAGGATGTCAACAAAAGAAAAAGAGAAGAGATGTTTCGAGTCGTGGGGTGTCTCCCCGCATGTCGGACACTCATTGGGCACATCTGCATGTAGTCTGCTCGGGTATGAGTTCAACATGCTGCAGTAGACAGAGCAAAGTTGGGCTATTGTGGTTCTAGTCTCCCGAGGCAGGCGAAGCACGTCAGGTGGTTGTGTGCTCAGAGCGGCATTAACAGTCTGAAATCTACGTAACTTGAGACCGACTCCCTGTGAATGCCGCTCACTGCCTGTCGATATGCTGTTGGGTCCAGATGTTGCTTTATGGACGTCTGGACTTCGTCCGTCAGTTCGTAAAGAGCTGACAGCGTAAGAGACAATCGAGACTCACTCTGGTGGTTAAGGGGATTGGAAATGTAATAATTATACAGTAATGGGGAAAGAACACGACTCTGTAGAACCGCCTGTCTTACTTTATTAGGTTACTCTGTTTGTCTCTAACCATTACTGACGAGTGTCGACCACTCAGATAATTCGCCGACCACCTTTTGAGTCTCTGTGGGAGAGACGAGTCCTCTATGTCTTCTAGTAGCGTGGAGTGACTTTGACAGATCCAACGCTACCAGTATAGTTCTCTCACAGGGGCGCTTGCGGTTTAGGCCACGTGTTATTTGAGTGTTTATGGCGTTAAGTGCTGTTGTTGTGCTGTGCACTTTACGGAAACCATACTTATGCCTCGCTGGGGTCAGCTGGTTTGCAAAATACTGGAATAGCCAGGCATCTAGTATTTTCGTTACCGGGGAAAGGAGGGTTATCGGACTATAAGACTCTCCTTTGTTGGCTGGTTTCCCCGGTTTGAGCAGTGGGACCACAGGTTAAGAACCTTGGCTAAATAGTCTATTCCTGAATGACCCAAAATTGTTCAGCATAAACAAGCATATTCCGTCGGGTCCCATGGCTTTGGAGGCTTTCGCCTCTCCGATGGCTACCTGAACTTCACCGCAAGTGAAAACAAGAGGCGCACTTTTGTTGGCAGTTTGAGCAGCCTTCTGGTAACTCTACGTTTCGCTTTGACCGCCGGAGGATGCAATGTAAATTGCCGGCTAAAATTGCTCGCGCATCGCTCCGGATACGGCGAAGCGCACTCTCCGAAAGATATTTCGACTCTGTCGTCGCGCTTTGTCGGATTAGAAAGTGACATCACGGTTGACCAAAGCTTACTCAAACCAGAGGTGAAGGTGCAAGTCTTCAGATGCTCTTCCCACTTCTACCGCTTATGTATGTACACAAGCTGCCGAATCTCCATATTGCGGGGATTACCGGGATCGACCTGACGAAGCAAGCTGCAGCAGCAGTGTGGAACTTACGCTCACCTACGTGAACGTCGGGTGGTGTGGGGAGTGCAGAGAAGGTGCTTTCAGTAAATTCTGCGAAGCCTTTCCAATCAGATTTAGTAAGTTGATATAGATCCGGTGTTCCGCGGAAGCAAAGTCGGCAGGTTTATCGATCGAGATAACTATTGGCAGATAATCTGATTCTTAGGTCGGCATAGGTCGCCATGATATGCTGTATATCAGGCCAGCGCTGACAATTGTTATGTCTGGCGAGCTTCAGCAGCTACCCATAATCCTGGTGGGTGCGTTGTCGATCATTGTGCAGAATGTCGAATCGTCTTATCTGCTCAGCCAAGTGTGTTCCCCTATGATCCTTTCACAGGATTGTATGCCAAAGATCGTAGTGCGCGTTAAAGTCGCTGATGACAGAGGGTATATAAACGATAAATATTTCGAGTCTGACATCGCCTGACCGGATAGAAAAACCCTCCCAGCCAGCAAAATATCCGGAAACGTGTCCGAAATTGGAAACAATTGCGTATAAAAACCGTTTTCGGACGTTTTTCAGATCAATCCTCCCACTACAGTGTTCATCCGAAACGTATGTGCAGAAAACTATCGAAAGTGGTTTTAAAACGGATGCGCTTTCGGTTGTTTTCCTGAAATTTGTCTGACTCAATTTTTCGTTGAAAACGATTTCATTATGAACTTCACAGAAACTTTTTCATAGTTACAGAAAACCAAACAAAAAAACAATTTTAACATTCAGCAATTATTTCAATTTGAATAAATAATTTTAATGTGTTGCTTGTGACGGAATTCGAACCTGGGACCTCCTGAAAGCTAATAAATTGTAGCACACTTCTCTGCACACTCAGCTACTGGCGAAGACGTATACATGTTTTCAAATGCTCAGTTTGAACAAATATTTTAAAATTATTGTTTTGAAATAAGATGATGACATTTCTGGAAATCGTTTTCTGAACGTTTTCGGATACGAAAAATGTACGAAACTGCACTTTCGGCAAAAAGTACGTTTCTCTGCTGGCTGGGCTGACATTCTAGGATGGTATTTCTGCATGAACGAAAGACACAAGATCACGCCTTCCCGAAAGAAAGAAAAGTTATTTTCTAGCTGTCGAAATCTCGACGCCATCTTTGTTGTAAGAAGTAAACAACGAAGATAACAAAAAAAACCACGTAATTGTTGAACGCATGAATAAATCATCTCGTTGTGTTAAATTATTCTAAAACGACTAATGTCAAAGTCGCCCAACTTTTTTCCTAAATGCGATTATAACGGGCTAGTAAGAAGAAGACGTGATCTTGTATTTTTGGTTCATAGTATTTCTGCGGTCGATTCGCTGAGACGATAGTGCAAGGTGAAAAACTGCGAAAAGGTTTATTACTGTATATACTGTGCACATTAGAAAACGGGATAAAGTTAAAACAGAAATTTGGCAATGTTAACACACATTTAGTACAAAATGAGGGAAATGTTTAGTTATTTGCAGGTCGTTTCTGGGGTAGGGGGGCGGAGGGGAGGGGGCCTGGCTCCCTAAACCCCCTCCATTCGAAAGGGGACAGCCCACACTTTACGAAAAGTCGCACCCCCCGCCCCCTTCCCCCCTTCGGGGCCTCCCACAGACCCCTGGGGAACCGTTTGAAAATGGGCGAAAAACAGCATTTACCTAGGGAAATTGAGCAGTTTGAAGTGGAATATAACACAACTAACAGAATCTGTGAAGTTTTTAAATAAAAGAAGTTATCCCAAGGTGGTTATCAGCCGAAAGAAGGGGGCCTGAACACCTTTCTGCGTAGGCGGCCGTCGGCCGCACTTAGGGATTATAATCCCTACGCAGTAGAATTCTCCTTTCTTTGTTGCCAAAGAAGGGGCGCTGAACACCTTTTGCAGAGAACACTTTTCTGCGTAGGCGGCCTTCGACCGCACTTAGGGATTATAACCCTCAGGCAGTAGAATTCTCCTTTCTGGTTTGCGAAGAAAAGGAGCTGAACACCTTTTGCAGAGAACACCTTTGTATAATTTTAATGCTTACAGGGTTATATCTATTTCCTTTTGTCTCTCATTCTTTTGCATATTTTGGAGTTTGACAGCTGAAATAATTTGGATATGCAACCAAAGTCAGACGAATGATTTTGAAGGTGTTTTTATTTAATAAATTGTGATTAATTGGTTAATATTAAAGTCATAAAGAAAGTTATAACTCATCGAGTAAAGTGTAAAGTGAAGGAGAATATAAAAATATATTGCTGTAGTGACTGCTTTAAGGAGAATAGGAGTGATAAATTTACGCTAATTTCCGAATTTTACAAAAAAGGGCATATTTCTAACCCAATTTGTAAATAAATTAGTGACCAAAAATTACAAAAGTGGGTGTTAAAATAATGTTTAGACCCTTGGCTACAAGTGTGTGCAATTTTTTTTTAGATCGGGTCACCCCTTTGGACGCAATACCTGGAAATAGATCGGCAACGTACTAAACCGTACCCCAAAATGGAGACGTGGGGTTATTGCAGACAATTCAATAGTTTGACAGCCATATTTTCATTTGAAGGAAAGCTTGCTGATGGTAACAGCGAAACATCGATTTTTTCGTTGCATCGATTTTTTCGTTGCATCGATTTTTTTTCAATATCCCTCCTGTAATTTATGCTATGCGATTTACAAACATATGTATATAAACAATAACTTTACTTTATGAATTGTGAAAATTACAAATAGAAATAAATTGTGGTAAAAATGGGAAAGTGTGCTCTCTGCTTTAAAAGAGTGCAACGCGGAACGGGACCTTTTTTCCAGGTTCCATCCCAGGAGTCTATACGGTTGCTATGGGGCCAAAAATGCGGGATTCAGTTTAAAGTAAGAGATGTTGTCTGTGTGGATCATTTTTCGCGTTCGGATATGATATGCGGAGCGAAGAGATCAACCTTGCTGCCAAAGGCCATACCAATTCCCCCATCGCAATGCGCCACCAGCTCCAACTGGACACCATCTGATAATCGTAAATTATTCACGGAATCATGTTATGCCGAGTTAGAGTAAGTTATAAAATTATTATATTTATGAACTCGAAATGTCAATCTTTAATACAGGTCGGATATTTCTACTTCAAGTTCCCAATCCCCAGAGATACTGGATTCAGGAATTTCCTCACAGGCAAGGTAAGTGAAGAACTAATTTTTAACAAAGTTGAAAATTATTTCTAAGCCCGTATACTAAATAAAGTGTATTGAACTATATAACTTATAACATACATATTTCTGTCATTTAATTAGCTCATCGTCTTTTTTAACTGATGGAACCGACAAGCTCGTCAAAGGTTGCCAAATGTTAATAGAGTAAGTGCATCTTAAAGGATATGATACTGAAGTGTATTGCTTGAACAACTTAAAAAACCGTATGTATTTCTTTAATTTAATTAGCTCATATCTTTCTTTAACTGCTGTAACTAAAAAAAACGCCAAAGATTGCCACACGCAAACAGAGTAAGTGGTTGTCGAGGGATTTTGCTTTGAATTATTACTTTTGAACTTACATACATACATACTTTCAGACCTACTATTAGGGAGGCCCCCATGGAGAAGGAAATCTTTGACCTGAAGAGAGAGGTAAAAAAAATTGAAGGCGGAAAACAGGGACTTGGCTCATCAGTTGAATATAGCGAATGCTGTGCAAAATAATTTTAGACAAATCTTTACAGAAAATCAAATACGTAAAATGATTTTTCCAGGCATGTTTTAAAATTTTCTTGGTAGAAAGTTAATGTAACTATTTTATTTATTTTACATAGATCGATCTGTGAAATGGTCATGGGAAGACATTTCCAGCGCAATATGTTTACACGCAGCAGGGCCAGCGGCATATACACATTTGTATGACAAAGGGTATCCGCTACCCCATGTATCTACCCTTCAGCGTTGGTATCACAAAAACGATCTAGTGGAAGGACTTCTCACTCCGCCAAACGACCTTCGTGACCTAGAAATGCCTGAAATATGCGACGAAGAAAAAACCTCCCTGATTCCTTATTTCTCGGACCAAAAATACTCGTAACTAAAACTTGAAAAACATGCTTACATCTTTTTACACTACCTTGTATATGTGTAAATTTTATGACTTTGATAGTAGGTTATTAGGGCATATCATATTAAAAGTGTACGCTACGATTGTAATTGTTCTGATTCAGTGATGGTATTTGCATAGTTTTCACAAAAAATCGGACTACGATGGAATCAGTAATTCACCCCAATATTATTATTCTGTAGAAAAGTATTTTCAAATCAAATAATTTTTAAGCAAAAAACAAACCCGACTTCCAATTCTCATTAAAATTTAAGAGCACTGTTAATTTCTTTTTGATCCAATGATCGTATCTCAACCAAATTAGTATGGGACCACCTCTGAGGAACATCCTTTCCTTCAAAGAAAATATTTATGAATCGGTTAACCTGGTCAAAAGTTGTACATAAAAGAAAGTTGTACATAAGAGAAAAAGAAAGAAAAAAAATATTTCGATGAATTGATAACCTCATCCTTTTTTGAAGTCGGTTAATAAGAAATTCAATTCGATTTTATATACAAATATATACTAAATGTTCAGCTGCAAAGATGCAATCATACATTTAGTCTGTTCCAATAGCAGTCCGGTTAACAGGATTTAGTCAGAACTTACAGGAAGTCGTTCCTATTGACATAAAACCTGTAAGTGGGAACACTTTTGAGAGAGTAACTGAGCAACTGTTCCTAGTCAGAAGTTACAGGATTTAGTCCGGAGTTTTTTTTTCCTGTAAATTCATGAAAAGTGTCAAACGATCAGCTGATTTGCATGTGCAAACAAAAACAGAAAGCGGTGAAAGCAAATAAATAGTCTGTTCCAATAGCAGTCCGGTTTACAGGATTTAGTCAGAACTTACAGGAAGTCGTTCCTATTGACATAAAACCTGTAAGTGGGAACACTTTTGAGAGAGTAACTGAGCAACTGTTCCTAGTCAGAAGTTACAGGATTTAGTCCGGAGTTTTTTTTCCTGTAAATTCAGGAAAAGTGTCAAACGATCAACTGATTTGCATGTGCAAACAAAAACCGAAAGCGGTGAAAGCAAAGAACCTTATATTTGTAAAAAAAAAATGGAAGTAAACAAAGAAATGATTGAATATGTATAGATTTCAATAATTAGTTAGTGATACTTCAGTTAAATCAGTGTTGTTCAAATGACATGTAAACAAACCGACTGACGTTTTTACAGGAAATAGTGCTTTTTGCGTTCCCGTGCACTTCTGGATCTGTTCTCCTTTTACTCTCACTTGATAGAGTAGAATTGTAGTTTGACAGTTCCACACATGATTCAACAACTACAGGTTGTAGCAATCGTACAAAAACAACATTTACCGTTGGTATGAACTCCTTGTGTCATCAACATCTTCTTTATCTATTCATATTCGTATGTATATGTATACCCTGCATACCAGGATTTCATAGAATTCTGAAAGGTTTCACAATTTTTTTAAGAATTTTCTTTAAGAAATCATACAGAAAGTTTTTACTAGTTCTTGTCCACCGCTTCATATGTTTTTCTTTACAGATTTCTAAAAGAATCGTAACAAATTTCCGATACTGAAAGATTTCGGGAGCATTTGTTTGCAGGGTATATATACGTATATGTGTATGTATCCGCGGATATGTAAATAAAGCAAAATAGACGATAATTTGACACAAGCGTGCTCATAAGAAGAAGCATAGCTTCTATCGCTATCGCCTGTAATTGATGCGCCTTGGTTCCACAGGTTTTAGTCCGAAGTTCAAAGGAACAGACTAATTAATAATACAATTTTATAAGACGCCTTTTACGTTTTCTAAAAGTAACGGCCCTAAGATGGTCTGATGTGCATTTCTATTAACATAAATATCACTCATTTACTTCAATAGTATCATAACTCGAAAAAGCTAAACTCGAGAAAAACGTTTTTAAAGTTTTGAATTTACATATACTCATACAGTAAAAAGTAATATATATTTAGTCTGTTCCAATAGCAGTCCTGTTTACAGGATTTAGTCAGAACTAGGGCATTCAATCCCGAAGCATTTTAACAATCCCGGGATTTCGGTGTTCAAAAATTCTAATCCCGGGATCCCGAGATTTTACGGTATTTCAACTTCACAAGTTTTTGCATTTTACAGTATGTTCGCCTTTTTTTATTCTAAAATATCTATATTGTCAAGAACATGTACCCATATTTGCAGAAACCCTTTTCCAAAAAAGGCCAACCAAGTAAAATGAAGAACAACTCTGTCACACTGTAAAAGCTTGTTGTGTTTTGAACTACTACCCTGCAAAAATCGCGACTACTCCAAGCATGCATGTAAAGAGTACTCCCGAAGGACCAAGGAGTACTCCAAAATTAACCACAATTCATATAAAAAATATGGTCCAATTAACATTGCGATGTCCTAGGGCAGGACCATATACTCCATCCCTGCATTACATCGGAGTAGCACAAAACTATTCCAACATATTAACAATGGCATTGTTGTTTTATTTTTTCGTTTGTCCACTCTTTTGTTCTTCACTTCTCAAATGCTTTTTCGAAATCAATAAAAACCAAGAGAAAACTTAAAAATTACATGTTACCTCTGACGGCATTCGAACCCGAATGTGCTGGGAGCTAAGAACTAACAGCGAGCATCTCTACACGTTCAGCTACAGCCAGACATGCAATTGTGCTTTCAAATGCTCAACTTCAATCACGTTTCGTTAAAACACGAGCAGTGATCGGATAACAAACAATAAGCTGGCGCAGAGACACGAGTTGGTCCGCTACAGCATGACAGAGGAACACTTTTGTAAGTACTCCAATTTACCACAAGTAGACTACATGGTCCAACGATTTTTGCAGGGTACCAGATTTTTCGTTATTACATAGTTCTTGCACAAAATATTTGAACAAGTACTTTTATTCAGGCAATGCCTGAAATTCACTTCCAAGTGCAAATTGCTCAAGTTCCTTAAAAGACAGAAGAACACTCTTGGCGATATCTTTTATATCTGACATTGCTACAGGCAGGATTGATTGCCCGTCTCTGCTTGAGAGATTGCACTTCAATGTCCGAGGTAGTACTAAAGCTCCTATTAATAGAACTATAGCTGAGTTTAAGATTAAACGCTCGATCTGGCTGGTTTAAACTAAAATCAGCCAATCAAATGTCAGCCAATTTAAACTCGGTTTACTTAATCTAAGTTTAAACTGGCACTGAAAAACGGGCCCTAACAGTAGCTACACACGACGAGCATATCCGCGCACATGCGCGGCTTGCGGGTCATGCTCGGCGTTTGTATGGCGGTTTGCGCGCATGCTCGCCAAAAATCAAAAAATTTTGATTTTCAACGAGTATGCTCGTCGTTTGTAGCGTGGTTTGCGAGCATCGCATTGGAAACAAAAACAACAACCTCACTTTGTGTTAATGCTTGCAGTGTGCACATCGCGGATAAATGCATCCAAGCCATGTGCGTTAATTGAATTTTTGATAAATTAGGCTAAATTACTATATGTATATGTATGTACATACATATAAGTAAAATATAAATAAATTTAAGTAACACATACATAAAAAATCCTAAGTCATAAGTATTTCAATTGCATCATCCGCGTCTTTCCTTTCCATGTTTACGCTTTGAGTACAAAATCACTTATGAGCCGCTCGCCGTCTGTAGCAAATGACAGCGAGCATGTTGGCGCACATGTGCGCGGATATGCTCGTCGTGTGTAGCTACTGTTAGTAAAAAAAAGGCGAAAAGTCGTCGCGAGGCGACTAAAGCCGATTCCAAAAAAGGTCGAGTTTTTTCAGTGATAAGTCGATTTTTGACTAAAGTTAGAATCGACTTTTCCATCCCTAGTTCGCATCCCTATTTATCTTTGAAGTCTAGTTTGCTTTGTGAGTTGTGAAAATTAAATTGAAGGAAAAATGGGACGGTGTGCTATCTGCCATAAAAGAAGGGAACGCGGAACGGGGCCGTTTTTTCGGGTTCCAGCCGAGGAGTCCCAACGGTTGCTTTGGGGAAAAAATTGCGGGGTACATTTTAAAGAAAAGGACAGTGTTTGTGTGGATCATTTTTCGCGTTCGGATATGATAGGCGGTGGGAAGAGATCACAGTTGTTGCCAAAAGCCGTACCATTTCCCCCATCGGAATGTCCCAACACTACAGCAACAACAACAACCAACTCTAACTGGACGCCATCTGATCATGGTAACTTATTTACGGATTCATATTATGCCCAGTTGGAGTAAGTTTTAGAATTATTACTTTTATGAACTTGAAATATCAATTTTTAATACAGGTCGGATATTGGTACTTCTGATTCCCAAGCCCCAGAAATACTGGATTCACCAATTTTCTCACAGGCAAGGTAACTGAGAACTCGTAATTTTTAACATAAATGAATTGTTTTTAAACACGTATAAAATGTATTAATTATAAAATTTATAACATGTAAATATTTCTTTAATAGCCCATCCCCTTTTTTAACTAATGGAACAGAAAAGATCGTCAAAAATTGTCAAATGTTAATAGAGTAAGTGCGTATTGAATACTGAAGTCCATTCATTGTAAAATTTAAAAATCGTATGTATTTATTTCTTTGATATAAATAGTTCATACGTTTCTTTAACTGCTGCAACTAAGAAACCCGCCAAAGATTGCCAAACGCAAACAGAGTAAGTGATTGGTTTTGGGCGTTTGCATTTTTATTTTGTTGCTTTCACAACTACCTGCATACATACTTTCAGACCTATTATTATGGAGGCCCTCATGGGGAGGGATGTCTACGAACTGAAGAGAGAGGTGAAAAAATTGAAAGCGGAAAACAGGGACTTGGCTCATCAGTTGAACATAGCGAATGCTGTCCAAAATAATTTTAAACAAATCTTTACCGAAAATCAAATGCGTAAAATGATTTCTCCAGGCATGTTTTGAAATCTTCTTGGTAGAAAGTTAATGTAACTATTTTATTTATTTTACATAGATCGAAACGTGAAATGGTCATGGAATGACATTTCCAGCGCATTATCTTTATACGCAGCAGGGCCAGTGGCATATACATATTTGTATGACAAAGGGTATCCGCTACCCCACGTCTCTACCCTCCAGCGTTGGTTTCGCCAAAAGGATCTAGAGGAAGGCCTCTCCACCACGCCAAGCAACTATCATGACCTTGACATGCCTGAACCATGCCACGAAGACAAAACTTCTCTGATTCCAGATTTCTCAGACCAAAAATAGTAAAACAGTTAAAGAACATGCATACATCTTTTAGGACGTACCGGAAGTATACTTCCTTGTAGTATGTGCATAAGTTTATTATAAGTTGTATAACTTTGAATAATTGGTTTTTCTGGCCTATTCTAAATACATTCGTATTGCGATTTTCTTGAAATCAATAGAAATGCTACCACAGAATCCTATTTGATATGAGCGGATGTACTCAAGTTTATGCTGCGATCGTATCCACTCTGATTCAGTGATGGAATTTGCTTAAATTCCACGAAAAATATATTTTTTCATCTAGCGGTCGTGCATGTCCCCATAAAAATTTAACTTCTTACAAGATTTTAGGTACAAATATAAAACTTTGTTATATGTACAGCTACAAGGGTACATTGGTACATGAATTAGATTTGAAATTCTATAACCCAAATTCAAGAAACTTTGCATTTTGTAAATAAAATATGTATGTACATACTGAGTGTAGCTACGCTTATTTTCTTGAAAGAATTTACAGTTTATAGTTTAACAATGCGTTTGACTAATAAATATTTTTCCGTAAAATATTCCGAAATATTTGTCAGTTTTGAGTAGAACATGGATGATTGTTTGGTGTCACAAATAATTTGAGAAAAAAACGTGTATCTTTGTTTGGGTTAAATCTTGCAATAAATGTTTCACCAGCTTTCCTATGAGCTCGAAACTTCAAACTTAGCTCAGAACCAGATGGCGATGCAATATGAAAGGTATTAGTCCGCTAGATGGAGCAGGAGTCGAGATATTTGAAAAGCCCGTATTTATAGTCTGATCTGGTTCATATTTGGAATGATTAGGGCTGATCGGGATCTTGTGTACATGCTCTTGCTTTTGAATATTTCGGTGAATTTGTAAATTCACAACAGCATTCAGACGGTTGCCACAGCCCTTATGTACATATATCACCTACATGGAGGGAAATAATTTCATAAAAAAAATTTGCTGGAAGGTGGCATCGGGTTCAAATATGTCGAAACCCTATGTATGGTCTGATTTAGGTTATATTTATAATATATATTATCTACATTAAAGGAATAATTCCACAAACGATTTTGCCGATAGGTGGCGCAAGTCAAGATATTTGGAAAACTCGTATTTATAGCTCCGTTTAGTTCATATTTGGAAAGCTTGTTTTAAAACTATTTTTGTAAAAATAACAAATCGGGCAAATCGAGCAGAAAAAAGATATCACCAAATGAACCACCTGGGCCCGGAATACGAGAACACTCTTGGCAATATAAATAATTTCAGCAGATCTCTCAAACAGGCGAAATTTGAAAATTGCAGCAGCGATCACACAATACATATAAAGTTATTTCAGAATTTCTTCATTAAAAAATATATTAAAACTAAATAGTAAATAATAGATTTCGGGGTCCTCATATTTCCTACGACGACTCCGAACGTCAAAAAGCTATAGGTTTCCTTGCCTACGCAGTTTTTTCTACAATTTATCAGTATAACAGACTTCGAAAAATCTTGCATTGTCACGTGTGACACGCTCTTTATTTTGAATTATGTTGCCACCCTTCCTCATAACTAACTGTTATACTTATTTACTACAATGTTTACAATAAAAACAAAAGTTACACGACCAAGCGGACCAAGCAAGCATTTATTTTTTTTTTAATTTTAGAAATACAATATGGAAATAAGTATTTTTAAACAAAATATTAAGAGATAATAAAAAATAATCAGCAAAATTTACACATTTAGTAGAACGAAATTAAAGGGGCGACCCTGCGATTGTCACATTTGCAACGACCAGCAACTTTACTGCATTCGATCGTATGTTTTCTGCCAGATTTTCTGATTTGTTTTGCACATTGCACCAAACTACACTGCGACGGCCGATACGTATTCCGATTTCAATGAATTTAAATGGAGGAAACACTACAACCACAAGCGGCAATAGCGATACCAACGAGGTGTGCCTTTGGAGAACCAGTGAGCTGCTAAAAGGCTGTCATACAGTGGGGAGTGGTTACGCTTGTATCGTGCTTAACCGGCCAATACAAGTGTCACCGCCGATAGTTAAAAAAATATGGCAAAATGGTAAATATGATCAATTAAAAACTATACATACATATCTATATTTATAGTTACGTATGTACATAAGTTGCTTTATAAATATATATTACAACTTTTGCACAGCACAAATTCGTTGCCTAATAGATGGTGGCGCTAATCACTGGAATGAATTCATGCATATGCATTGTGAGGGAGAGAAACTAAAGCTACCGGAATATATAACTGGAGATTTCGACTCCATTACAGAAGAAACAAGGAAGCTTTTTAGTGCACCAGATATTAAATACCAACACACACCTAACCAGAACGAGACAGATTTTACAAAAGCTTTACGATTTTTGCAACCACAGATGAAATCAGAAGACATACAGGAAGTTATTGTATTTCAAGAGAATACAGGCCGTCTAGATCAGATAATGGCGAATATAAATACTTTATTCAAATTACAAAGCGATCTACTTAACATATATCTCTTGAGTAGTGCTTGTTTGAGCTGGCTACTTCTGCCGGGTAAACACAAAATTATAATACCAAAAGAACTAGTCCACTGTCAACGTTGGTGCGCATTGATACCGGTTGGTAGTAGAGCGAATTCAGTGACTACTACAGGATTGAAATGGAATTTATGTATGTATCGATTATTTAACGCAAAAGCTTTTCTATAAATACAACTTTTTATCAATCCTAAACAGCGAAATCACCTATGGAGTTTGGTCATATGGTTAGCACATCAAATACCTATGCTGCTCAAGAGGTATGCATAGAAACAGATAGTGGTTTAATTTGGTCTATGGGATTATGGGCACAAAATGACTAACAATAGTAGTACTTCAAATGACACGTTAGGCTTAGTAGATAAATATTAATGTAGTGTAGCAGGTAGGTAATTCTTGTTCCTAGTTATGTAAGTAGTTAAACTTAAATTGCGAAAGCTATACTGCAATACGTTCCATGGTATTTTTTTTTTTCAAGAAATGTCTGATAAGATCTTAGGAAAGCATGTTGCGTCTGATGAGTAATGATCTATAGTTGCGTTCAATGAAATATTTATCTATTAGATAATTATTTGCGATTGCGCAAAATGTGTTTGATGTTACACAACCCTGTAAAAGGGCATGTTTTTGCCATCTTGTCCTTGTCCAGCATTTCATAAAAGAGAAAGGGGCATCAAAATGCGACATTTATTTGGCAGAAACGAAAACAATAGGTTTGGGATATTAATTTCTTTGCACTAGCAAATATTAGTTTAAGAAAAATTGTGCCATTTGTCAGCTCGATAACGCAAAATATTGTCCAATTGTTACAAAGAGAAGGGTCCAAGACGAATAATGGTGTACATTTTTCCTTTAATTTTTAAACACAAGTCCACGATTTCATGCGTTTGTGAGATTCTATAAAAATTCTTAAAAATGTTACTTAGTGGCAAGGTGACTTATAGTCGAATAAAACTCGTATGCTTACAAGCGGCTTCAAACATACTTAGGGCGGTAGTGTCACTTGCGAAGCGATTGAATTTGGCGAAGCGAACGGTTTGGCGAAGCGAATCAAAAGGCAGAGAAGGTATTAAAAGTGTGCGCGATGCGAAGAACTTGCACAAGCTGGTAAAAGCGAACACTCTTAATGCATATTTAAGTTGCGTCCGCCTATCCATTCGCTTCGCCAAACCGTCCGCTTCGCCAAATTCATTCGCTTCGCAAGTGACAATACCGCCCTTATAATATAAAATAAGAAATGTAACTAAAATTGTTAATTATTACCCCTTACATACATGCATTATTTACCATATGCAAGTAAGTTGCACTAGCTAATTTTACATAAAGAACGTCTAATTGGAAGTAATTGTACGACTGAAGTGTATGTATATGAGAAGACAGCTTTATTTTAATAAAATTATAAATTCAACGTAAACAAAAACATTGAAATTTAATTCTAGTTCTTAAGAATACAAAATTCAGTTTGTGTCGTTGGCCAGCATACGCTTCATGCGTGCATGTGCTTGTTTCAAATGTGCCAATAATTTCATATTGTTTGCTATGGCGGCATTTGTATTATTATTTTGGCTGGTGGTGTTTCCGCCTGGAGTGGCTCGTTGTAGACCATTTGCTCGCACCCCGCATGTCTGAGTGCGATGTAACTGCAATCGTTCTTTTGTCGTGAAATATTTGCTACACAATTTGCACGGATAAAGTTCTGCCGATACGTCGACGCTGTTACTGTCACCTTCTACTACTTGGTTTGTGGAATTATTACCTTGGCAGACATGGCAATCCTGCAAGTGCTGCATCATTTTAGGTTTGCTGGATTTTGTTTTGGAGCAAAATTTACATTTAAGATATGACTGGAATGGCATGTGCATGAAGCGATGACGTTGCAAATCGGCATGCTTCGTGGTATGTTGTACATCCATACAGTCGAGGCAAAGGTAGGACTGTTGATTTTCAAGCATTTGAAAATTTGTCTGAATTGCATTTTCTATATTGTGCTCGGTAAAGACGTGCCTGCGCCAGCTTGATTGTTCATTGAACTCTGAGCCACATTCAGGACAGAGATAGTGAATGTTTTCCTCCAGCAATGCATTCTTGTTAGATTTATTGGCTATTGGAAGATTATACTTATGGCCATGACTCTGGACTGCTGTTTGTTTTGTAGAATGTGCTGATGTTTCCGATTGGCATAATTTTAAACGTTTTCGCGGCGGTGACCAAATAAAATTGTTTGTCTGTGTGGAAGGATCGTTATCATCGTCGACTGTATCTATTTCAATGCATATTATCACTTCTTCTTCATCTCTCTTTTCTTGTTTAAAGTTTTCAACTATGGCATCGCTCTTGTTTTGCGCGCCATTATGGACCATGGGCTGTGATTCCTCCTCAATGGATTCGAATACATCAGCACATAGTTCTTCAAAATCATCTTCTGTTGTAGATTCCGTAGGAGTTATTGTGTAACTCTTAGATACCTTATCATTATCCTTGATTATTCGGACGTTACTTCGACGGATTGCAGTATCAGCACACTCACTGTTCTTTTGTCTTTGTTCTTGCTCAAATCTTTGTTGTTTAGCTGCTAGTCTTGCCTTTTCACTTGCATAAGTTTGCTTTTTCTGCTGCCTCCCACGCTTATTATCATTAGCTGGATCCATCTCCTCGGTGCTATCTATTACTTTATATCGCCTCAGTATTGCATCTAATTCAGTGTTAAGACGATCATTTATCTTCGCTCCCCATTCAACTGGCTTTTTAATATAGGACTTGGCTTCATTGAAATGTCGGGGATGAGCGTAAACGAAATGTCGAAAGATTTCCGATTTGAAAGACTTTTTTACCATGCAGAAAGTGCATTTGAAGAACAGCCGGAACGGCAGATGAGTAAAACGATGACGTTGCAATTTCGGTTGTTCATTAGTGTACAACAGCTTGCGGCACTGTAAGCAATAGTGGTTACGTGAGCCGGAGATGCGATGCATTCGCAAATCATGAGAGGTAGACGGATGTGTGTCTAAATGCTTAAGCCACTGTTCGTATCTATCGATGTTCTTGCCACATTGTGGACAAATAAAACGCAAATAGAATTCCCGATTTAAACGTGGATCGCGAAGCAACTTTTGTTCAGCCGTTTGGATTACGTTGGTGGTTGTCTCACTTTCTATTTGCCGCATTTTCTCTACCATAATTATTTGACGGCTATGGAAGCGGTAGAGATGTTCACAAAGAGCTCGTTTACGTGTGAATCCTCCTTTGCAATGTCGACAACGATACGTACGGTTAAATGGCAAGTGCAGAAAACGATGGTATTGGAGCAGTGCAATGGCTTGATTGGCATTGGCAACCCATTTATGACAAACTTGACATTCATGGAAGCTCTCACTAATTTCTTTAAAATCGAAATCTGCTGGTGTTTTGTGTATATAATCATGCTCCTCATTTAAATGGCGACGCCAGTCCTGCTGTGATTCGAATTCCACTCCACATTCTGGACACACAAACGTCATATGCGACTCCAATCGAGGATTGGCGAAATCATTGTGCCCACTGCTGCCACTACTACCATATGAACTCGACATTATTGAGACATGTGTAATTGACGAAAAAGTGTGAAAATTTTTAATGTGGATTCCTTTTTAATTATTGAAGAATTTTTTTCTATCACAAATTTCGCACTATGCAAGTATTTCACACAGAATTTATTTTTTATTTTTTTTGGTTGTACCAAACTGCCCTGCAAGAACAGTGACTATCATTTGACAAATCATTTGATGGGCAAGACTGATGGAGATTTCTGTCACTGGCTACCCATGATTCAATAATACAAGGTTCGATAAATTGACAGTTGTCTCTTTCGCACCGCTCCCTTAGCGGTGGCACCGTGTTGCTTCTTTGCAAATTTACATGGAAACAGTGTAGCTTTGTTGTGAAATAAAAGTATAAGCTTTTGTGCAATATGTTTATTTGTATATGCATATGAAGCATATTTAACTGATGAAAACATAAGCATTGGATTGGATCAATCTCATAGTAGTCTTATTTTAATTTTGAGTCATTTTGCAGTTTTTATACAGCTAAATAGCATATAAATTACGTAATTCACGTAGATATATAAATATTACGTTCAACATTTCGTTTAAAATGCCAGATTTCCTGCAAATACTTAAGAATTTACAAAAGGAATTTCACTACTAATTGCCTACTTTACGTACTTTTCTACTACCATTTTCGCAACAAGGGATTGCATTCTTGCCCTTTCTCTGTCCTTCGCAAACGCAACCTTTTGTAAGGGAGTGTCAAACCGCAGCTGTCAATAATTATCTAACCTTGTATTATTGAATCATGCTGGCTACCTACAAGTTTCTATCAAATTCTAAAGGCCGGTCCACATAGAACTTTCACGTTGGTTTTGGCATTGGCGTTGGTTTGACAGAACGCACGTTAAAAGTATGCTTGCTACAATGAACGCTTAGCAGCGAATGCTCGGGCCACTAAATTAACATACTAACGATAGATAAATTAATATTTCATATCAATAATTGCATTAAAAACGATATTTCTTGCCCGCGCTTGATTAAAATATTATTTATACATACATAATTTCATTTATTTGCAACAGCTGACGAGCGACGCTCGCGAAAAGTTGAGAGTTGGCCATCTTTTTGCTTTGTGTTGGCGTGAACGTTGTCGAATTTTGGCTATGTGGACGGCTGCATTTGAATTCATGTATTCATAGTCAGCTGTTGAAGCGACGCCAACGCCAACGCAACGCCGAAGTTCTATGTGGACGGGCCTTAAAGGGCAGTGTGAAAAATCTGATGGAAACTTTCGTGTACGTGTGATGCTTCATCTCCTTCTAGCATATACGTTTTGGCATATTGCTAGACTGCTCACTCCCATTGAGTTCGGCATTCAGATTTGAATCATCAGTGATGTAAATCTTCGACAATTATGAGTGATCAACCTTGATAGAAATATAAGTCAGCAATGTGCAGTCAAATTTGATGTAATAACCGATCATTCATGACACATCAAGTCTGACAGGTTTGCCTATCATTCCTGATTATTCACAGCTGATGTAAAAATTCGTCAAGTCTGATCTCTCACGCATGATTAGAAAGCTTTCATTAATGACACATTTAAGACATTTTTTTTTCTTTTATTTTCATAAAATCTTAAGACCTAATTATTAATCATTAAAATATTAGATGATAAATAATTAATGTCTTACGAACGAAAAATTAAAAAAATCAGAAATGTTTTTCATAAAACACATACACTGGCGACAGAAATAATAGAAACGACTTATTTCAGTGCATTTCTTTTGCGTATTAATGGCCCCAATATGTATGGCGATTGGTGTCCAGTTGCTGGTTTAGTAGCCATGGCTACCAGTATCCTACTTGGTATTATGTATAGCGACTAATGCAGCGTTTTTGCTGCATTTAAAATGCAACATTTAGCACTTTCGAACATATGTTTTCGAAGAGCGTTCATGCTCGCATTTAGCAAATGTACATTTACGCGAGTTCGAAATCGTATGCTT